AGGCACTGAGCCCTGGGAGGAGCAGGAATCTCCCTGCCCAAAGGACATTCCAGCCCCCGGGGCCATGTGGAGATCAAGGAATGGGCAGAGGAGCATCAGGGAAGTAACCTGGACATTGTTAAACCAGGATCCAACCTAATACTGAAACTTCCAAATGCTAACAGAATCACAGAATCATGGAATGCTTTAGCTTGGAAAAGACTTTTAAGATCATTAAGTCCTGCTTTTCCCCTAGCAGTGCCAAGGCCACCACTGACCATGTCCCCAAGTGCCACATCCACAGGGATTTGAAATCCCTCCAGGGATGGGGACTCCACCATTGCCCAAGGCAGCCTCTTCCAATGTTTGACCACCCTTTCCCTGCATAATTTTTCCCTGATATCCAACCTAAACCTTCCCTGGTGCAACTCAAGGTTGTTCCTTCTTGTCTTGCCCTTTGTTCCCTGGGAGCAGAGTCCGACCCCCAGCTACCTCCAACCTCCTTCCACGGATTTTTAGGGAGTCAGAAGGTCCCTCCTGAGCCTCCTTTCCTCCAGGCTGAGCCCCCCCAGCTCCCTCAGGCTTGCTCTCCAGGATAATCCCATCACCTCCCACCATCAGCACATTCACAGATAGCTCAACACTTGCTGCAAGTATTTCTAGGAAACTCTCAAGCACAGAAACTTGGCTCCAGTGAGAAATAACCCTGATTAATATGGGGATACATCTCTTGCTCATTCACACTGATAAACCAAGCAGTTGTGTCATACAGCAGTGTATTAAAATTAATTTCCTTCTGCTCCCATGACTTGGGGCATGATTCTCCTAATGATGCATATTAGCAAGAGGAAGCAGAGCAACAGGAAAAGAGCTGGGATTGCTGAAGGAGATTTGAACCAGGGAGTCCCATCAGTCTCAGAGACAGAGTACACACAGACACACCTCACCGAGAGCCTGTGAGATGCCAAAACTGTCATGAGAAGCAGGAGAGGGTCGGGATTCCTTCATTAAAATATAGAGTAAAGCAAAAGCAACTGGGTGAAGGAACCCAGCTGCTCTCCAGACAAAAATGGTACCTTGACATTAGAGATGCAAAGATGCTCATGAAGGCTGTAAGTCACTGGGGTTTGGAAGTGACACCGAGCCAGTGGGACAAGGGAAGTGGAAATGGAAATGGAAGAGCTGAACAAAATGATGGACACAGCAGGACAGAAGTGTGGGAGTGTGTGTGGATACACACCTGAGGATACTGGAGAACAAAGCCACAGGGTTGTTCTTCCAGGTAATAAGATGTTCGATCTGCCCCAGATGTGACTTGTTCTCTTTCTTACTCTGCTCTTCTTCTAGAAAAATCAAATGGTTTAAAATGCCACCAATGCCCCCTTATCATCATGGAGTCACAGCATGGTTTGGGTTGAAGGGGACCTTAAAGACCATCCAGTGCCACCCCTGCCATGGGCAGGGACACCTTCCACTAGCCCAGGTTGCTCCCAGCCCCGTCCAACCTGGCCTTGGACATTTCCAGGGATCCAGGGGCAGCCACAGCTTCTCTGGACAACCTGGCCAGGGCCTCCCCACCCTCCCAGCCAGCAATTCCTTCCCAATATCCCATCTCACCCTGCCCTCTGGCACTGGGAAGCCATTCCCTGTGTCCTGTCCCTCCAGGCCTCGTCCCCAGTCCCTCTCCAGCTCTCCTGGAGCCCCTTTAGGCCCTGCAAGGGGCTCTCAGCTCTCCCTGGAGCCTTCTCTTCTCCAGGTGAACATTCCCAGCTCTCCCAGCCTGGCTCCAGAGCAGAGGGGCTCCAGCTCTGGGAGCATCTCTGGGGCCTCCTCTGGATTTGCTCCAGCAGCTCCATGTCCTTGTGCTGCTGTTCCCCAGAGCTGGAGGCAGCTCTGCAGGGGGGTCTCACAAGGGCAGAGGAGGAAAATCCTCCCCTGCCCTGCTGCCCCCGCCGTGGGATGAGCCCTGGACATGGGGGGTTTCTGGGCTTCAACGGGTCATTAGGAGCTTCTCATCAACCAACCCCCCCAAGTCCTTCTCCTCAGGGCTGCTCTCCATCCATCCTCTGCCTGGATTGGTGTTTGGGATTGCCCTGACCCACGTGCAGGAGTAAATCCTTAGGACAGTGTTGGGTACACACGAGTCAGTGGTGTCCCCACTCTGGTTCTTCACCATAACCAAGAAGCTCCATCAGCCCGTAAGTGGGCAGCGAAAACCACAAATTTCTCTCCAAGCTTGATGTGTGAACACTTCAATAACACCTTCACATCTCAGTCAGTCATAGAGCACGGGAAGGCTGTTCTTTAACTCCTTTGTTCAACCCCCTCACATTGCTTTGCTGCTGTGGAACATGTACTAACTAATAGCTGATGTGCTATCCCTGACCTAGAAACACTGGCAGCTGTTCGGGGAATTGCTGGGTTTTGGGGAAGTATCAAAAGGTTTTTAGCACATAAACCAAATTTATGAACAGATATTCCCCTGGAGAACAGAACTGTTAATGTTTTAGTATCACAGCTGTCACTGGTGCACAGTTATTCTGTCCTGTATTAATGCCCTGGAAAGGTTGAGCATCTTCTCTCAGTCACTGAAATATTTTATAATTGACAGACTTCAGCTGGCACTGAATATGGATAATTTTCTCCATAAGGAGCACGCCGGGCTGACACTAATCTGTTCTGTTGTCATCTCCCTTTATTATCAACGTCTGCATTGTTTTTTCAGCAGCTCTGAAGAACACAAATAAGAAGCTCCTAATTGAAAAAGCTAAGTAATCAAAAAGCCAATTAATCATCGAGATGAGCTCTGACACCCGGTGATGCAACACACAGAAATACCACACAGGCACAGCTGAAGGGGTTTTAAAGTGTGCTCATTTGATGTGAGGATGATCTGAGAATGCAATTAGCATTCTCTGTCACAGGTGACAGACTCACACTGCACATCCCTCCAGCCTGACATTGCTCCTCCGAGCTCGGCTCCACTCCCTGCACACCTCCCGTTCTGATCTTCCCCCTGCTCTGACTCCGCACCTTCCACTGAAATCAGGACGAGTTTAGCAACAAATAATCAGCCTTCCACCATGCTCTGTGATTTCCAGGCCTTCCTGTTTTGTTAAACCTCTATTTCCATCCCAGTTTTCAAAAATCCCAACCATATGAACCTCGGCGACGGCTGCAGCCCCGGCCTTGGAGAAGGTGGAATTGCAGCATCCATGACCCCCCCTGCTTCTCCAGGTTTCCACTCTGTGATCTCCACATCCCTGAACAAGTTCCAAGTCACATTTGGAGCACAGAGTTCGCCTCCTTTCAGAGCTGGAACAACTCCTTTTTTGTGTAGGAGACAGATGCTGATGTACCTCGATACCAAACCAGATGACAACTCAAAGCAGAGGTTTTTTAGCTCACAAATAAAAAGTCAGAATGAAAAGGCGAGGCTTGGCATCACAAAAGCTCCACTCTGAAGACAGAGTAAACATCATCCAAGGTGTAAGACAGGGAATTCTGAACCACCTGCTGCGGCCCTGGAGAATTCCAAGCCCCAGCAGATGGGCAAGAGGTGGCAGAGCTCACCTATCTCACAGCACTTGGGGGATGACACCCCAGGAGAACTCAAATGAAGTTATTTAAAGGTCCTTATCCCCCCTTGCACACCACAATGACATATTTATGCACGTGTTAAAATGTGATTCCACATCAGAAGTCTTCACTTCTCAGGAGTAAGAGAAGGCCCTGCATCAACAACCTGCTCTAACATTAAAAATAAGTAAGAATAAAACCTTATTTGCTGAATAGGACCTTCAGGAGGCAAAAGGAAAAGCTTTCAAAGATCCCTGGTTTATCACACACCCTTTGCCATTAATTACTCCAGGTTCACTTGCACCACACACTGAGAGTACAGGTACAACCACCCCAAAAGACACCAGTTTGGCTGAGAACCTGCAGGTGCCTTTCCCCCAAAACCAGCCAGTTAATTCAGAATAAGGAAGGTTTTCTGTGGGTTTTGTTGTGAAAGATCCTAATCTTTAGCTGTTTAAATAATGCACCGATTTAGAACCATTAAACTAATTTCCCCTCGTCCTTTCAAACTCTTTTTCATTGCCAAGAACATGGACTTCATTAATGTCATCTTCAAAAAGGCAGGACAAAGCACTGAGATGGTATCAGATATGTCCTCTATTTAAAATATTCATTAAGAGCAATTATACACACTGATAATTCATGCAACATGCTCCTCTCCCTAATCCATAAAAACAAGGGGGTCTCTCCCAGCCTGCTAAGCTGCATAAATGAATATGTATCTTGTTAATCATCCTCCAAACTAAAAATCCGAATTAATCAACAACAGATAAGCTCAAGAAGAAGGCAGAGGGGTAGAGGGGGGAAATGTGTTCAGGCTGGAGGTTACAACCAACCTGGGAGCTGGCAAACGCTGACAGCAGTAATTATTTGAAATTAAGATCCTATAAAATAACACCCTATAAAGAACCAGAGTGTGAACAGCAATATGTTAAAGCACGTCCCACAGCCTACCAGGGTGTTCTGTGCACTCCAGTTCCAGGTTTATTGGGAGAAAAACGGCTTTTTAAACATGCTATAAACTCGGAATTAACATTAAACTTGCCACGTCCTGATGGCTTCTGGGGGGATCACCAACTCCACCCAATGGAAGCAGAAATTCCCTCTGTCCTTCCACAATTCCCAAGGAATTTTAAGGCTGGTTGGTGAACATTTATTCACTTCCACTGGCCCTTCATCAGTGTTGGTAGAAAATAACCTCGTGATTTCATTTCTCTGGAGGTAACTCCTGTGCCTGATGAACTCCCACGGCAAATGTGAGAACCCGGCAAAGAAAACAATATTCTCCCCATCAAACCTCCCATCTTGTCAATATTGAGCCAGAGACAGAAGCAGTTCAGACCAAAAAAAAAGCTCCTCTGGCCACTGTTTGAATCTTTCTCTCCTTAAGAAGAAGAACTGGCCAGAAAACTCTTCATAAAATGGCAAATAAAAGGCTTTACCCTCTCCTCGAGTCGAGCCAGCTGCTCTTTGTAGTAGGCATCGTGTTTCTTCAGCTCCCTGTCCTTCTCTTCCAGCTGCCTGGCCTGAAAAAAAAAAAAAGGCAGCAAAAAGTTAAAACTGGATCAAAGATATTGGCTATTGTGCTTTTTTTTTCCCTTCCCTCCTCAACAGCTGTGCCAGAGTTTGTCCAAACGGATTTGGGAACGTCACAGGAACGGAACCAAACGGACTTTTTAATTTTTTTATTTTTAATTTTTTTATTGGAATGCACCTTGTGAACGTTGGGAAACTTAATTCCAAGCACGTGAATGTTTGGAAAGAACCAAATCCTTCCAATATCTGCCTAAAAGTACATCGAAATGTTGTTTGTTTTTTTTTTAATAAATAATTATTCCTCTGGAAATTCCTCAGTTGGTTAAATATCCACAAGTTGGAATCCTTTACCACTGGATCACTCCCGTGTCCAGTAACTTAAAATAATGCAGAATAATTCTGAATATTTATATTTTCAACACCAACATGACTTGGGTGTTCATTTAAGACACACTGCTTCCAGCAATTTGACACGTTTTTGGCTTTTCATCTGGAGAATTTTCCCATATCTTGTATTAAGGAGACTCATCAGGAATTATAAAACCCATTAAAACCCCCACATGGAGAAAAACATGCAAAGCTCTGAGTTCTCCAGCGAAAATACCAGAGAAGTGGGTTTGAACAAGCTCTGAACCATTTAACACCTAAATTATGAACACAAACGTGTTCCAGGTCCACAATTAATGATAAAATACAATTAAAACTTTGGATTTTCGGTTGTTCTTTCCTTAACTACTCACCTTCACTTCTATATCCTGAAGCATGTAAAGAAATGTAAAATTTAAAATTAAATTTATTATATATCTTGTGGTGGACACAAAGAACACAAAAAGACCCCAAAATATGCACGTTTTGTGCATGCATCTGTCATCCAAAAAAATGCAGAAAACTACTTGGAAACTGTTGGGATTTTTTAATGCAAATTCAGCAAAAATAGTCCCAAAAGCACAGCCAAATTCTATTTTTTATTACTTAATTATTTAATGCAAGTATAAATATTATTTAATTTAATTTTTCTTGGAGGAACCAAACCTCGTCCAAACCAAAGCTGCCACCCCACGTTCATGTTCCAGCCCTGTCCCACCACCAATTAATCAGCCTTGGCTCACTAATTACAGCTTTTTCCAAGCTGATTGCACTAAATATTCCACAGCCAAACTCCCATGTTTTGTATCACTCGTGGTTTGCTTCTCCTTACAGATAATCCCTGATCACCTCCCAGACCTGGGGGTTATGGAACAGCTGGAAATTCGTCGCAGGTCGTGTGTTCTAAAACCACCCTCTCCCAAATACAGAATCATGGAATGGTTTGGGTTGGAAGAGACCTTAAAGATCATCAAGTTCCACCCCCTTCCATGGGCAGAGACACCTCCCACTGTCCCAGGTTGCTCCAACCTGACCTTGGACACTTCCAGGGATCCGGGGGCAGCCACAGCTTCTCTGGGCAACCTGTGCCAGAACATCTAATATTCCATATCTAACATTCCATATCTAACATTCCATATCTGATAAACTACTGCAAGGCATTGGTACATATTTTCTGTCCAACCACCACATGATCCCTGAAATCTCTGTGATCTCCATGACATTCCTTTGGCGTAAATGGAATTAGATTGGCTGGCGACAGAGAGAACATAAAATTCACGTTTCCCAGCGCTCAGTTTTCAGTTCTCACAATTCCACAGTGTTTTAGACAAACCTATTGATGACCCATAATGCAGCAGCAAAACTGACTCTGGGAAGGCAATAAAAGGTGCAATAAAACCCAGGCAAGAGCATCAGGAATTAATTCCCTCATCCCATTATTGAGGGATCACAAGGAGGGTGGAAAAGCAACGGGTCAAGGGCTCAGAGACGATGGAAGAGACAAACCCCATCCTCACCCTCCAGGTTAAACTCCTCCCATCTATGTCCTGTTTGCTGATCAAACACCATCAAAAAAGATAAATGGATGTAATTAATTAATGCTATCTGAGCACTAAATTTATATATATTTATATATTATGAGCGGGGGAATGTATATAATGTTTATTTCATGGGTATCTATCCCAATGCAAGATTTTGCCCTGGAAAGTTTGATTTGCCCCAGAAGGTTTGTTGGTTTTTTAGGTTGTTTTTTGGGGTTTGGTTCCCTGCCCTCAAGATAACCAGTGATCAAACCAGCTGGATTTTACTGCACTAAATACAAATGGGCCAAGAAAAAAATTACCAGTTGTGCTGCTTATTGCTGTGCTCTATCAGTGATAAAGGAGAAATATTAGATTATAAGAATACTAAACAATTTATTTATCCAAAGGTTGGGGTCCTTGTCTTGTGAAAGTAACTGGAAGATTTGGTAGGCAGGTAAGAAACTCAGAAAACAGGAGTTTCTTCCACCCCTGACACTTGTACAGTAACTCAGACACAGCAAAGTTCAAATAAATAAGTAATAAATAAAATTATTCATTTATACAGGAGACTATAAATATGCCAATAGGAGAGAATTCAGTGCCAACAGAAAAACCTGGAAAGCAATATTATATTTATGGGGCCACAGCTACAAGATCCTGGGGAATATCAATGAGCTGTGAGAAAATAATTAAGAGTAGCCGGATATTCAATTAGCTCAACGCTGCTGTTCAGGTGTAAATGAGATATTGGAACTGGTTTGTTGCTTCTTCACAAAGAAATTCTGATAAAAAAAGCCTTTATTTGGGTGTTTTCTAGGAGACACAGCCCATCTTCCCCAAACCACCCAAATTTAATACCCCAAAAACACACCACTAACATTAAATATTAGTTCAATTCTGAAATGCTTCTGAATTTCTTCCTCACAATCACAAGGAAGTTGGATCAGGATTTAAAGGTCAACCTGGGTTTCGTTTTCCAAAGCAGGAGCTGGATTTGGCCCCGCTCTGCTATGAGGTGCCATCGCTGGAAAAATGGATATCTCCAATAAAATTCCTGGGAATGGCCTTGTTCCCAGCTGCAGGGACACCTGGTGACGAAGTCAAACCCCCCTCACACTGGATACAACAAATGCACATTTATTTTGTCCCTTGTAAGGTAAAACAGAGCAAAAAAGCAGCCAACTGAAAATGTGTGTTTAATAATTAATCGTAAAACGTAAATAAAGGAATCTGGTTATCAGGATGCAACAAGATTCCAGGTGTGTGCAGCCACAAATTGATATTATTTAAGGAGAAAAAAAAAAGAAAAAAAAAGCCATTATGAGGTAGTTTAATATAAGTTTGCAGGCAGGATTCAAACTCAGCAGTCCCAGGTTTTCAGCTGCCCCTCGGTGCCGACTCCGAGCTCCAAATCCATTATTATCCACCAGGTTTACAGTGGAAAACCCCTGAGATGGGTTCAGTTTGCATTTTCCTGGGAAAAGAATGATCTGCTTCCAAGTAAGAGTCTGGTTTTACACTAAATTTGTAAATTATCATCAGTTATCTCCAAGTCCTCTGCCCAGGACTTTCACTGATGGACTTTGACTTCCTCCACCGAGAACATCAGGGGATGGGGTAAGTGGACACCGAGGGCTCCCAAGGCACATCCAAGGCTTCCAGTGAGACCTGGAATTGGGGCTGGGGGCTGGAAGAGCCCCTGTCACAAGGGGTTTATGAGATGAAGGAGATTTGCCAAACGAAACGTGGATCCAGCAATGAGGGCTCTTCTGGGAAAGGTCCCATGGAATATCTGCAGGCCTCGGGCTCCTGGACTTTGAAGGAAGGATCAATGGATTAAGGGGGGAAAGGAAGCAGCAGCAGCTCCACAGGCACCACCATCCTGTGGGAGAACTGCTGGGAGGGTGGGATGGGTGAGATGCAGCAGCACCACGAGACAGCAAATCTCCAAACTGATCCCTCCCCATCGTGTTGCTGGAGATTTTCCATCCCTTTTGCCACGGGAGGTTTGCTGGATGAGCGTATCCATAGGCTGGAGCTGGATGTGAATCCCAGAATTCACTGACACTGATGTCACTCAGGTCCAGCCCTGTGAGTGTCCCGTTGTCAAACAGTTATTCAGCCTTTCAGAGAAGGGTTTGGGTTGGAGGGGACCCTAAAAATCACCTGCTCTGACCCCCTGCAAGGAGCAGCGACACCTTCAGCTGCATCGGGTTGCTCAGAACATTCTCCCTTGAATGTTTCCAGGGATTTGATGTCCATTAAATTCCTCTGCCCACAAACCCTGTTGCAGTGGACAACACTCACCCTGTGCACTCACATTTGAATGTTGATAAAATCAGATTAAAAAGGTTTGTTCCTCATCAATACAACAATGGTCAGCAAACCTACACTCTTCATCCATTCCCCGCAGTGTCCCAATAAATAATTCTCAATTTCCACACTTGACATATGTTGAATTGCCACATTTTTATATTTTAAACTTCTATTTCAACACATAAATCCACGCATCATTCCAAACAGGCAACAGGGGGAATTTATGGACGTTCTTAGGAACATACGCTGCTCCCTTCCCCCTCAAAGAATTCCTTTTTGAAGCCTTCAATATTCACAAAATCACTCCTAACCACACAAAATCATCAGGACACATCACTCGAAGAGAAGGACGTTAATTTTCATTTCCACTTGTAAAAAGGTAGAGGTTCTTTCTGAATTAGAAACGGCAGCGACAATAACGCGGCATAAAACGTGTTCTTTGACAACTGTAATTAAAACAAGCTTTTGTAATTACCACTAAATGTGCTACAGTACATTTTCTCCAAATAATGAAGTCCTAAAAGACTGAGCAGCGCAGATGAAAAAAGATCACATTGAGAGGAGGCTAATGGAGAAAATGAAACAATTGAATTTATGGACGTTAAGGATCTGGTCTCTAACGGAACATGTGACGCGAAGCCTCATTTACTAAATCTCGTTAGAGAGAAAAGGAGAAAAAAAAAATGTAAATTGTGCCAAACAAAGGAGTTACAGATTCCAGTTTCCAACGTGAGCCACAGGAATATCAGCTCAAATCTGTGGGAATGTCACCCTCCATCAAGGCAGAAGTTCATTGATGTTGCTGCTACAACGAGAAGAGTTGCTGTTATTATGTCAGAATAAAAAGCTGGACAAGGAAAATGACAGAATCCCAGAATCACTGAGGTTGGAAAAGATCTCCAGGGTCATCAAGTCCACCCTGTGCCCCATCCCCACGTTGTCCCCAGCCCAGAGCACTGAGTGCCACATCCAGGCCCTCCTTGGACACCTCCAGGGGTGGGGACTCCACCACCTCCCTGGGCAGCCCCTTCCAAAACGTGGGACAGCTGCAGGAGGAGGTGGGGGGTTTAGGAGAGCAGGCACACACAGCTGAGGGACCCAAAGAGACCTCAGAGGTGACAGGGCCAACTTAGAGGCCACACCAGGTACCTCCATGACATGTCCAGTTGGGATTTGAAAACCTCCCAGCAAGGACAAGGAACAACCTCTGCTGTGCCTTCTCCATCAGGAAGGTCTCCCAGGCTCTGTGTAGGGCCAGGGCTCCAGGAGGAGAAGCAGGAACAGCAGGAGGGAAGTTCTGAGTCACTCATCCCTTGAGAGGACTCCGGGTTCCTTCCAGCCTGATTTATTTTATGATCCTACCCCGAAACACAGGGCAGAAAAACCCCACAACTGCACCAAGCAACTCAAAATGAGCAATTAGGGATTCACAGACTGGTTTGGGTTGGAAGGGACATTAAAGATCATCCTGTTCCAATCACTGCATGGGCAGGGACACCTTCCACTATCCCAGGTTGCTCCAAGCCCCATCCAACCTGTCCATCCATGTC